GAGGAGGAGGAAGAGAAGGGAAGAGGAGGGAGGGGATGAGCAGAAGGGAGGAGGAAGGAGAGAGAGGGGAGGAGGAGGGAAAAGGGAGGAGGAGGAAGGAGGGGAAGAAGAGGGAGGGAAGGAGGAGAGAGGAAGGAGGAGAAGGTACAAAGAGGGAGGCAGAAAAGGGGAAAAGGGAGGGGGAAGAGAAGGAAGAAGGAAGGGGTGGGAGGAGGGAAGAAGGGGAGGGGAGAGGAGGGAGGAGGGGAGAGGAGGGAGGAGGAGGGAGGCGGGGAGGAAGGAGCAGGAGGAGGAGGCAGATCGGATTCTCCCACACAAAACAGCACCCTGTGGAACAGAACTATGTCCGCTATGTCCTGTCCACTGAGCAAAACCACTGACCCCGGACTCCGCGTTCACGCTCACGCTTAGTCACGCAGGACCAGCCAGCTCTCTGAACGGAACTTTAAAAGACACGCTGTCCCGTGAGTTTTAAAAAGTCCCTTTCTGGAGTGTGTGTGCTGGCTTTGTTTTCACTCGCAGACAATTCTCCAACCTGACAACGCGCCGGGACAGCCCGCCGACCGCACTTACCAGGGGGAACACTTTGGCGCTGTCGTCCGTTTGGAACAAAGCCTCTTCTGTGCTGCTGGCCACCAGGGACTCCTGGGAGAGTTTCGAGTCAGCTACTCCCTTTCCTCGCCTCCAGTCATCTCCCGGAGGCTGGCCCCTTTCCTCTGCAGGCGCTCCTGACGGCTGTGGCTCCTCAGAACCTTCCTGGTCCAAATCGGGAAATTCGGACGGCGCAAGCTCGAGTGTTTCGGAAGCCTCCGGTTCTAACGCGTGCTCTGACCTGCTACCTCTGTGCTTTTTCTCAAAAAGGAAATGAAAGGAGATTAGGCTTCCCGATACAGTGCACGCTGCCACGCTCCCATCTAAGTACCTTTCTATCCATTCCTAATCATCAGTCAGTCAGTCTGTCAGCCTCACTTTGCAATTCTTGTTGCTGCTAGTCGCCACCGAGGCGCCCTGACTCACGGCGCCCCACGTGTGCGGAGCAGAAATGCTCCAGAGTTTCCGAGGCTGTGACCCTTCGAGCAGACCACCAGGCCCGTCTTCCCGGAAGCCTCTCGGTGGGTTCAAAATGCCAACCTTTTGGTTATTCCTTGAGTGTTTCACCATCTGTGCTAACCACCTACCTTGGAATTAGGAAGTGTTGTTTTTTTCTGTTTGTCTTTTAGGAAATGTTTTTAAAAAGGAGCCTGGGACATTTTCTACTTTAAAAAAAAAAAAAGAATCATGGGTGCATTGGGTTTCTTCTCAGCCTAGGAGTAGCCTCCCACAGTAGAATCATTCTTCTAAGGGGCCCCGGTGGGCACCCAGAGGCTGCCCGGCCACAGAGTTATGCATTCCTGGACCAGAGCCGGGACCATGCTGTGGAAAGCCTACATTCCTGTCAGACCAGGCTGAGTCCATTCTAAGACCCTTAGGTTAACCCCTAGTGGCCCTTTAAATGTCAGCTCCACTACACACCTCCTCCAGGAAGCTCTCCCTGATCATTCTCCAAGCCTTTTTAAATCACCTGTGACTCTCTCAATCACTGCATTTCGCATAGGGTTTCATGATGTTCGGTTATGGGTCTGCCTCCCCGCTACACACCCTAGGGCTCTGCATTCGGGTTCACATCCCTACAGCCTCTTTGTATATAAACATTCCAGCAATGATTCTGAAGGAATGAATGATTACTACTTACCAAGGGAGTTGTACTTGAATGGGAACCAGGAAACAAAAGTTGCTCCAAACTCATCCCCGCCTGGCTGACTTCTTGGGGCACCGGGATGGCTTCCTCCTGCTCCCCTGGCCACTCCTCCTCCTGTCCCTCTCCAGCCTGTGCCTCCATTTCCTCTGCGAGAGCTGCCTCTTCCTCCTGCAACCCCTCCCCTGCTACTGTGTCCTCTTCTGATTCCTGCTGCTCATCTGTCACCTTTTGGTGATCCGGATGTTCCTCTCCTCCTTCTAGCCGTAGGTAACTTGGATCATACTCTTCTTCCTCTTCATCATCATCACCACCATCTTCATCATCATCTTCATCTTCTCCTGTCTTTGGGTAATATGGATGATCTTCTCCCTCATCTTCTATCTTCTGGTAATCTCCATTTTCTTCCCCTCCTCCTTCTAGCCTTTGGGAATTTGGATCATACTCTTCTTCTTCATCTTCCTCTATCTTTGGGTAATTTGCATCATCTTCTTCCATTTCTGTTTCTCCATCTTCTTCTGTTTCTTCCGGTGGTTTTTCTTCTGAATCTGACATTCTTCCCTCACTGTTTTCTCTAGAGAAATGTTGACAATAATCATCAGTATACCCTTCTGTTTCTCGTTTCGATTTCCTGGTGCACTGACCTACCATGAAATGTGTGATACTAGCTCTAGCTGTTTTCCATAGGACTAAAAAGAGTGTCGTATGTCAGAAGACTGCCCCACACCTTATAAAAATATTGATCCTCAAAGCATCTCATCTTTCCAGGAATAACTTCCAAGTTCCCACAAACCCACTGCCATAGAGTCAATTGCAACTCATAGTGACTCCCACCGGGTTTCCGAGGCAGGAAATATTTACCGAAGTAGATTGCCCCATCTTCCTTCTGTGCAGTGGCTGGTGGGTTTGCACCACCAACCTTCTGGTTAGCAGTCAAATGCCTCAGGCACTGTGCCACCAGAGCCCCCTAAGTAACTTTAAATATATTCTCACCGGCAGCAAAATGCATGACCCAGGCATTTGCAACAAATCTAAAACAGGAATAAGAGAAGAGATGGCATAGTTTAGTGGCCAAGAGCCTGGGCTTTGCAAGAAGCCTGTCCTAGCCAGTTCCACCACTCACTTGCTTTGCAACCCTGGGCAAGTCACTTATCCCTCAGAATCTGCACCTGCTCCCAGTCGAAATAAAAATGACAGTCTGAAATGATGAGTTTGTTGTGAAGATTAAACAAGACAACATACGTAAATTCTCCACACGCTCAAGATACGGTAGTATCTTGCTATTATGGAAATAAAAGCAACTCTGGCAGAGAACTTTACAGTTTAATAGTACTCTAATATATACTCTTTTATTTATTCCTTACAACAAATTCAAGGAGCAGACCTCGCTGCACTCAGCTCCCTCATGTGAAAAATGACCAGTGAGATTTCACGTCTAGGACTCTTACCACATGGCCTCTTCCAAACGGCCCAAACCTAACAG